CAAGGTCCCTTCAAAATCTTTAGAAGAGTCCTTCTAAAATCAATAGAACCGATAATTCCGAATATATTATATTAAGACGATGTTCGGGGGGGGTTTAAAGCTCCTTGAAGGTCTTTAAGAGAATCCTCCGAAGGCCAATAGAACCGAAAATTACTATCCCATTTATTAAGACGATTTTAGGGGGTTTGAGGTCCCTTCAAGGTCTTTAGAAGAACCATCCTAAGGGTTTTATTTCTAGAAGCGTACGAATCATGACCAGAACCGTCCAGAAATTTCGTTCAAAACCGAACCGCCGAACCGAACAAACAGAAACCATAACCGAACCGAACCGTCCATTTCCTGCGATGAAGTTGAATAAATGTCTCCATATCCATTAGCCGGATCTCAATTCCCTACCCCTGCCAAAGGCACGCATCTAACAAAATGATTAGAGAAATCCATTGGAAGCCGATTTATTATTGAAGACGAGCATCGAGCAAAAATCGAAGGTTAGTAAGGATAAGACTCACACGCAAGCATAGAGAGAGCCGGATATATGGTCTCCCACCGGCTCTTCAAAAGTTCCAATTACGGGAGATTACTACGTGCTCGGTGCAATAGGACGTCTGTGATAACTCTCGAAATATTGACATTAATTCTGCCAGCAATTGATATTGAAATAGAGAGAAGATCATATTATGTTTAGCTTCGGATTTCCTGGTGATTTTTTCCCTTCAAGGTTGGGGAATTTCAAGTCGCTGCCGAAACAGGCCAAGGAGTGGCTAGTTCTCATGCACAGACAAAGCTCCCACCATGCTAGTCAAGAGCAGTGTCGAGCACACAATCAGAAAGAATCCAGGTCTTGGCCTTTTTATAACACACACACACAATGTAGATCACTTCCCTTGTTGGGCGGATTCCTGGTCCCATGGCAGCTTTCTTTTTCAGAGGATGCCTCGGCGCCCAGCTCAGCAGGACAGGTTCGCGACAAAGAACTTTCGAGCCGCGGGAGCCGCGAGGACGCCTTCGGAGTCTCAACACGCCGCAGCGAGCTAAGAGCGGTGGAGTCAAAGAGCACAGATCCCAAGCATCCGTTTTCGCGATACGTCTCCCGGGCCCTGTATGCTCCCAGTACACAGAGCCCAGCAGCAAGCTCCAAGCATTTCTGGCTCCAAGAGGCTCCAAGTCAATTCCGCTATCACTCTCTCAAATCAGCAGCGCCTTTTTCCGGCACCCAGCAGTCACTGATGTACGGAGTCATGGACATGTAGCCTTGTCTGTCCAACTCCAGCGCACGAGATCGCAAGATGTCCACGTCCTCTTGCGTCAGTCCGTCGGATAGCCATTCGTCCTTGTCACTCTGCCAGCGATCTCGCTGCAGTCGCTGCGCAACGTCCGGAAGCGCTATGCAGGTAACGTTGGCCGTACTCGGCAGTGACGCTTTGAGTGCTTCGAGTGGCCTCCGGGGACAGGGCACCGAAATCGCGCCCGCTTTGCAGCGGCCCAGTGGGCGGATGGCAGCCGCGCGCAGCTTTCCACGGCTCTGGTGGAAGGTTCCCTCGTGGGGAAGCCAGCATCCTGAGCCCAGGTTGTGTGGCAAACAGTATTTCTGTGCGTACACAATCGAGCCCTCCGTGACGTATGTAGCTATGTCGAGGGACACATCAGGATTCTTTCTGCTGCACATCAAGACATCTCCGTATGCAAGATGGTCTGTCACCGCTTTGTAGGACTGCTTGGTTGCGCTCGTTGAATACCACTCTAGGCAACTGTGCCAGCCTCGTTCCGCCATCCTCCTCACCACAGAGTCGCGGATCACGGGCCAGTCTTGGCGGGACGGCAAAGCAAGCATGACATCGACATCATGATCCACCACATCGACTTTGCCTTTCGACAGCAGCCCGCTCCGCTTTCCGTGCCGCAGCAAAGAGATGAGTGTCCCACGAGTCGGCCACCATTCAAGACCAATGGACTCAAATACAGCCGACACATCGGCTAGCGCAGCCTCATGCTGTTCATCTGTGATAGTGGGCTCCTGCCTCCACGAATCGGCCCACTGTTCTATCTCCTTCGCCAGACGGAGGAGACGCTGCACGATGGCCGTGTGCATCTGCAAAGCCTTCTGTACCGGCCACCAGCGGATTTCGACGAGTGGACAAGCTGGAACCGCCTGCTTCAGTACCTTTTCCTGCTGAAGCATATGATGATAGACCGCCGCGAGATCATGCTGAGCCAAATCACCCTCAAGACCCCGTGCAAATTGAGCATATCGCCATGCACAAGCCACGGCCACGGCACAGGGACAGGCGTGTGGGAGCAGGTGACTCCGATGGTCAAAGGCCTCCTTGGCCAGGTAGGCCAAATAGTTCGCGCCATCAATGTCCAGATCCCGCTGCCCGAAGCCCCTTCTTGCAAGGGTCATAAGTCCCGTCAAGTTCAGGCGAAGATGTCTTGCACTGGAAGAACAGGTAGCAGAGAGATGCGCGTGAGCAGCCAACGGGAGCAAGAGACATGGCACGGCAGCCCAGTGGAGAAGCATTGGCGGCACTGCCGAGTGAGGAGAGACCCTCTCAAAGTAAGACCCTCAAAAGATCACTGCAGACCGATACTTACAGGGTCTCTTTTTTTCTAGCCGCTTGTGGTCCACGACCCGCGCGCCCTGTGTGAGTCCTGCGCTGTCCTCCTCGGAGTCCTCCCGGTGCCGCACGATGACGCCTCCGACGTCGAAGCCGATGCGCGCGATGCGCGCCTTCGGCTGCGGCTCCTCCTCCTGGACCAAGCAAGCAGGGCACGCCTCCAGGCCAGTGGCCACTTCTGCACACCAGGTGTGCATGACGTGACTTCGCAGCGCCTCGCCATTCTCCGGATCAGCTGCCAGCTGGCAAAGTGCGCACTGTCGGTGGGTGTCCATAACTGCAGCAACCTTGCCCTTCACCATTTCTTCGTGACAGACTGCACACAACAGATGCTCCCAGCCAGCGACGCACTCGCCTTCAAAGATGAGCAAACCAGTTGTGGAGTCCACGGATGGAATGACGTCGACACGACCATCAATCTTTGCCATGTCGCTGACAGGGAATGCTCAACAGCGCGCACTGCTGCACTCAAATATTCCAAGATTATGACTCTTGACACCAGTAGACTCAGCAGACTACTGGGTAGCTGGTGCTAGGGTCGCAATTAGTTGCTATGTCTCTACTTCGAGAGGTCATATGCTGCCACCATTGGTCTCATGAGCATGTTTCACCAAGTCCGGCCCTTCGAGCAAGCCGTTCAGGTGACCAAACACAAGCAGGCCACGCACCTCACATCACTGGCAACTTCCCTCAGTGCAACCCACACAGGGACCTGCTTCAGATTCAGAAAACACGCCGGGCGCGCTACTGCAGCTGCCTCCTCGAAGACGCCCAAGGCGGACAGGACGCAGCGGACGCACCCGCGCCGGGTTTGCAATGCAATGCGCGATGTTGGGGCTTCTTGCCAGGGGGGGTCGGGGGGGGGTTTGCGGTGCCGGTACTCCTATTGCATTGAAACCCCCAAGTGCCCTTCTCATCCAGACCAATGGCTCTCTGACTCGCTTTTCTGAAGTATGGAGGCCAACATGCCAGGTCATGGGGTTTGGCGACTGAAATCTCCCACACCCTTGGGCATAGCGGAATCTGAGGCGTGGACCCAGCTGGTCGCCCCATCTGCTCGGCCCTGACGGGGGCGTAGCAGCGGAGTTGAAAGCATCCACAACAAGACGTCTGTTTTCCAACGCAAAGTTGAATCCTAAACCCTAGACCCTCAACCCTCAACCCTAAGCTTCTTTCCCTCTACGGAGCCCTGAGCTGCCTCGTCTTGTCCCCCGAAGGTCACTTGGCTCCCTGACTCACCCGGCCGCGCGAGGAAGACCTTGGCAGAGAGCTCTCCTCAACCTAAACCCTAAACCCTACACCCTAAACCCTATAAGCCCTAAGCCCTAAACCCTAAGCCCTAAGCCCTAAACCCTAACCCTAAACCCACCCCGCCTCTTTGAACTGAAAACCCTAGGTGCAGGTTCCGGCTTGGTAGTGTCGAAAATGGTGTGTTGCAGTGGACCAGCCGGGCGAAACGCGCCGCAGGCATGCTGAAGTCATCACTTTTTGGGCCGTGGCGCCCTTTCTGGAAAGCAGGTGCTGGCCAAAGCTCCGTCTTTCAAAGTGTTGGGTGGTTTTAAGCCGCTGTCCTAAGCCGTAAATCCCACCAACTCATGCATGCATCTCGAATTCTTGCTGTGTTATGATACCGTTCACTCCCTATAACAGCACGAAATTTCGTAGAATGAAAGCCTTGGGCAAGCAACATCTTCGCAAAGACACCAAACGCCGGAACTTGCAAACCTTCTCATGCTCCTGTGCTTCACTTCGTCTTCTACAAGCTTCAGGGCGTGGGAAAGCCGAGATCTTTACGTTGTCAAACTCCTGCTCTGGGTGTGCCCGACCGGATAGCTACGCAAGGAGCCATCCTAGGAGGATGCTAATACTAAGGGGCGCGTGTTTCATCACTCGTTCGGACGTACCCTGTAAGCTGTACCACAAAAGGAAATCGAAACCACAAGGCAGCGACACTAAAGGTCTGCTGTATCGAGCTGCGCCCGGCGAGCTGACCTCAGGCTCAGGGATGGCTACTTGCGGTTTAGGTAGGTTTAGGGTTTCTACTGCTGGAGGGTTTCTGGAACCTGGATGGAAGGACTTTGGAGGCTTCGGTGACAAGGTTTGGTTTCGGCCCTCATCTTCAGGACCAGAACTGCGTGAGGCAGTTACCACCCCCCCTCCCCCCTTCCCCAGGGCTTGGGGCTTAGGGTTTCTGGTTCCACCACCCCCCCCCCCCCCCCCCCCCCCACCCCCTCAACTCAGCAACAGCTGTCGCAACACGAGTTTGCACCCTGAACATGAGCAAGCTTTCTTCTGCCGCCCATAAGCAACACGAGCGCTGCTCCGCCATCGGGAACCCATGTGAATGTCTTAGTCAAGCGCCACATGGAAATTACCGACTTGGCGGAACTGCCCTCCATGGCCCCCACACCATGTCTAACCCCTGCAGCGCACAAGGGTTTTTCAGCTTCTTCTGTGCTCTGAACCTGTTAAACCTCAAGACTTTGCATAACGACCCTAAATCCTAAGCGGATCCCAAGATTAGGCTGCTCCAGACCTGGGCCTCCACCCTTAAACCAGCTAACCCGGGCTTTCGGCGATGTCTCTTTAATTCTTGCGCCTCATCTTCTTGAAGTTAACAGATAATGAGTTAACAGCCGCTCGGACCTGTCAGGGTGCTCCTGGTGCTTTTTGGGCCCTTTGCACCTTGCATGTGTCTGAAAAACTACAGCTTTTTTTCTGCATCCCCGGCAGGCTTTTTATTGCGCCCCTGGTGGCAACCCTCTGGTGCATGGGTCACGGACTCAACGACATTACAGAAGCTCAGGCGCTGGCTGAAGAGGTGGAACTCCGGATTCAGGGCCAGTGCGCTTAACCTGGCTGCAAAGACGCAAGTGCAAAACTCCGGCGAGAGTGAATGCCTTCTGCAATGTTAAGTGGTCTCAGGGGGCGCACGTGCCACCCCTGCGACCGTACAGTTTCCCCACCTAAGCCACCTAAGCACTGCCAAACAGTAAACAACTACGGGATCTTGCAATTCCTGAAGGGCGTGGGTAGCTGCGCGCTTGCCTGTTCTTCTGGCCCCCTTCCTACGTTCAGCTCCCACTTTCCAGAGCGCTCAACCCGTCAACGCTGTCATCCTTCCCCCAGCTCACTCAAAGCAACGCGAGAGAGCAGCTACGAAACAAAGGGGCACTGGAGCACCCGAGTCCCAGGACGCCGTCGAAGGCGAAGTGCTGGAAGGGCTCCGTGGTCAGCTGTTTTGCCTTGAGATGAGGTCTTGGGAGGATTTCCCCTTGTACCTTGATAGGGACTAGTAGTACCCCCCGTCTCATAATCCCCAGTAAGGACTCTGAGTATAAGGGGAACATCCCCAAATGAGGTCGCTAAGGCCAGATTGCAGCTGTGGGCATGGGCTTTCTGGTGTCGGGATGATGCTTGAAACGTGAATGTGCCCCTTTGAGCTGACATATATATATATATACATATATATATATATATATATGGCCCTCATCCTCAGGGCCAAGGCCCGAGTAAACTTCGAAATCCTAAAGCTCCTGAACCCTAAACCGCAAAGCAAACCTCCACCCTACAAACAAAGCTCTGCAGCCCCTTTAACCCTCCTAAACCCTTGTAAACCTTAGAAATAGGCCCTATAAACCCTTATAAACCTTATAAACCCTTATAAACCCTTATAAACCCCATCAGCCCTACAATTGAACCCTTTAAAGCCTGTAAAACCCCAAAAACCCTAGAAACTCTCGGTGCCCCGGCGAGGATGACGCGCGCTGAGGTGCAGGGCCCCTGCAGAAGACTCTTGGCTTAAGGCTTCCGTCGCATCGCAGGTTCACCTATCTAGCCCCGAAACCCTTGACAACCCCTAGAAAGCCCTTCAAACTCTGTAATTACACCCTAAAGCACCTCCTCCAGGCTTCCTGGCGCCCCCATGCAAACCACCTGAGCTGTCGGGTTCATGCCTGTGTGTACCCAACGCAAAAAGACCTGCTACTCAACATGGCTTGAGCAAGGAGTGCGCCGCCCATGGGCCCAAGTAAAGATTGCGGAATAGTCAGCCGTGAGATCCCGAAGTCTGCCATCAATCCTTCTACTCTGTACTTGGTTTAGGGTTTAGGGTTTAGGGTTTAGGGTTAAGGGTTAAGGGTAACGTGAACCTACGTTCCTGGACAAGAGCCCAGTATAGGACTGCAGTCTTGCAACGCGCAACTCCCCCGTCCTTGTTTTTAGGCTCCAGCATCGCGGACGAAGTCACCCACGACTTCGCCGATGCCATAAGAGATGGAGACGACATCATGCCTGTTGGGTCTCCGGTGTTGCTCTTGAGGCATAGTTGCGAGCGCATAAAGAACACACACCACAAGGAGAAAATAGAGGTATATACACATATTGAAAATAGAAAAGTATATACATGGCAGACTCTATATATCTATCGAAAGCTATCAATATAAATATACATATAAATATATATATATATATATGTGTATGTTGCCATGCAGAAAGCACTTGGACAGCCTACTAAGCCCCGGGCTCGCGACGGGCATGGCTGCCGTCGCTGTTGATTTCCGCCGCCGACGCCTCAGGTCGCGGGTTTAGGGGTTCAGGGTTTAGGGTTGAGGGTTTAGGGTTCAGGGTTTATGGTTTATGCGGTTTCAGGGTTTAGGGTTCAGGGTTTAGGGTTTAGGGGTTCAGGGTTTTAGGGTTTATAGGGAGCCACCGAAAATTGCCAAGACCTGACTTACTTGTAGGTTGCGACTGGATCGCATGAGTCAAACAAGCAAGCAGCCACCAGCAAGAACCAGCTTCGGGGCTCCTTCTTAAACCTTAACTCTAAACCCCAAAGCCCTGTAAGGCCACAGACCCTATCCTTCAAAACCTTAGGCCAAAAACACAGCCCCAAAGCCTCCCTAGATCTAAGCCGTCCCTAGCCGTCCTGCCTCACGCACCGTTCCACCTGAAGCACCGTTCTGCATGAGCCCTGACAAACACCGTTCAAAAATTCTGCATAAGCGCACGTCTCACGTCGATGCAGAACTCAACGCGCGAAGCGCAACCCGCGTGAGGCGAAATGGGTATGGAAACCTTACACTAAAGAGCAGCCAGAGGTCTGAGGCTGAAGCAGACAATGAGCGGTCGAAGCGCCTGTGCTGCAAACACACCGCATCCTCCGTGGATGTTTTAGGGTCTTTGTAGGGTTTAGAGGGGAGCATAGGTATTTAGTAGGGTCGAGTGAGCTTGTCGGTTTGGGGTGTTGCAACTTCATGTTTGGTGCAGGGGGATGATGACTTTGTGTAAGGGCTCTTGAATGAAGAAGGGTGCCAAGTTGAGAGACGGTTTGTCGAAGCCTCTTTAAATAAACTTCTTCCCAGGTGAAGTGAAGATCCCTCCATGGGAAGCGCTTCGCTTCCCGAGAGAGAGAGAGAGAGAGAGAGAGAGAGAGACGCACAAAAGCCGACACCCCTTTGAAACCCTAAACCCTTTCGAAGCTGGAAACAGCTCAAGACTCTGCGACTCTATTCTAGAAGTTATTTGCAGATCCTGACTCTGCAGCCCGCAGCACTGCAAGTCAGCGCAGGTTGCGAGGGTTTGGGTTTAGAGCTTAGGGGGCTTGGCAGGTTGCAGGTTTAGAGTTGTGCTTCAAGACGTGTTTGCGTGTCGGGAACCAGCAGAATGTCATTGTTGGAAGCTGTGGCTGAAGGACTAAGTGGCCTCAGGTTTTGGCATTGGGCTTAGGCTCGGAATGTCAGAGACTTTGGTGCAGATGCCAGACGGAAAGCTTGCAGTTACGCACTGAAAGATCTACGCCAGATACACATGCGGCTGACCGCGGGGTCTGTATGCACACGATGCATATACCGGGACCCAGACCTAACCTGGACCAACCTTCGAAACCCTGTGCGATCTTGGTTTTTGCCACTTAGTCAAGGAGTCCAAACGAACCCCACCCCAACAGCGATGTCAGTGGTGACAATATGTCAGCAACCAGTGCTCCATTTGATGAGAAAATATGTTTCATGTACTGCAACAGCAAGACTCCCTAAACCCTGAACCCGAAACCCTTGAAGGAGTTCTAGGGCTGAGGGCGAGGGGTTCGGTCCTGGCAGGAGCGGTCGGGAAGGAACAAGTGACCTGAACCTGCACAGGGGCGGGGGGGTGCGGACTCTTGGGCACCCTACACCCTATAAACCCTAAACCCTAAACCTCCAATCGACCAGGTGACCCCATAGTGTCTGTAAAGTTGGCGAGAGGGTCGAGTTGCATGCGAGTTCTTAGGAATCTTGGTACCCCTTAGAATCCCTTAAAGGGTATGTGTAGAACAAATTTTAAAGCAAGTATCTCGTGGAAGACCTAAAGATGCAGGCCTGTGTCGAAGACAACCGTGAAGTTCTGTGGCTTCGGATGGCCTACCTGCCATGCAACTGTGCTCTTGTGTGCATGAGCTCATGAGCGCACCCGGTTCCAGAAAAGAAGCGCGGCCGCTTTTCTCTAGCCGGGGCGTGTGCCGCGTGGGGTCTGAGCGCCTCAGGGCCTTTGTCTGCTCTCGCAGAGTACCTCAGCAGTCTCTTGTGTGAGATCCAGAGGCTTGGATTAAGAGGTAGTTGCTTTCTGCACCGATTCCTTTGCGATATAAATACGTTCCGTGAGACACACCCGTCGCCCATCGAGCAAGCAAAGCTTAGCTAAACAGACACACACACACACGTTTTTCCTGCCGAGATCGAAATGCTTCGTGTCACTTCAATGTCATGAAGCTCCCTACCTCGAATCCCCAATATAGCCCAACTCCAATAAGGCTCACAGCTCCTCTGCGGCCAAGCAGCTGGTGCACGTCGGTGGCGCTGGGCTCTTCTAGACATGCGCCTTGCTCGTGCGAGCTTGGACCTTCGGCACAGCCTTGGCTCGTCTCAGAGCCCCGACTTTCGAACCGATTATATATATATATATATAATATCTAAACCCTAAACCCTAAACCCTAAACCCTAAACCCAAAACCCTAAACCCTAAACCCAGTATATACATATGTAGGGGCCTGAATAGTTAAAAAAGGGTTTAACGGAACACAATTAGTAATTATTCCGGCCCCTATAGTAACCCTCAACCCTACACCCTTAAACCTCGTTTTAAAAAAAGTATACCCAAAAGCATTCCTCGCGACCCCCCCCCCCCCCCTGCCTCCTGTCGGACTTTGTGACAGATCCCTTGTAACAGTGCTCCAGAAACTTGAGGCCTTGCGTATTGTGTGCTCCACAATCCTCTTGGGTTCCTCAAGAGAGTGCTTGGAATCTTGTCCCTGCAGACTTCCCAGGGCTTCGAGGCATGGGCACTCTGGCTCCCAGGAAGCGTTTTGTGCATTCTTCGTTCCAGGGATGTCCCCCTATAGCGCCCTAAGCCCTAAACAAACAGAGTGGCGTTGGCATTGAGAGTTTCGGGTAGATGCCAGTGGCAGGGTTGTGAGTGCTTTGTACGGGCTAACTAACCTGAATACGCACATGTGGCTTGGTGTGTAGTTTTAAGCTTCAGGCTTCTGCGCCCAGATTGGGGATTGCAGCTTCCGGGGCTTCAGCTTTCACATGCAGCTTAGAATCTCTGTCGTGGACCCGGCAAAAAGCGAGGTTCTACGTGCAGACTGCACTTGCGGGGATCACATCCATCTGAACCCAAGCAGCCTACGTGAGGAACAGTCAAGCTTCAACCCTAAACCCCCAACATGCTAGAGTTTCACATGCAGCCTGGGGCACAAAGGACTCTGGCGAAAGAGGCGCCAACAGCGCCGCCGCCGGGTGCGCTGAGCACGCCACGCAGCCTGACAACGAGGGCGACACCAACATGGGGTTTGAGAATGGGACCCCAACATGAATCCCCAAACAGTAGGGCCACCTTATAAGGACCCCATAAGGTACCCCCCCTAATTTCCCCCATGTCGGTATTAGAAGTTGGCTTCGTGAAATTGCGGATGTGAGCACAACACAAGCATGCCAAGAGCTTGGGGTTGTGCTGCAACGTGGGAATCGCCAGGGGTCAGAGTCGTTAAAACAAAACCTGGGCCCAGAGCATTCTTTATGTAATATTCCATGGCGCAGGAGAGTTCCAAACATCCGAGGGTTTACCAAGCAGGAGCACTCAACAGTACTAAACCCTATAAGCCCCTCAATGCCTGGCCTCAACCAGACTTTGTCGGCGTTGGAGGGCACGCGCCTGTTGTTTTTCTCTGGGAACGCTTCCAATGCCGCTCAAAAAGTCCAAAAAACCCGATGCGCAACCCAAGCCTCCTACAAGTTCAAGACTCTCAGGAGGGCCGAACGTATGTACTTGCTGCGTACAGGCTTTTTTAGGTGTCTGCGCAAACATTCAAGTGCATTAGTGCACTACTAATGGCAAGGAGGCCTTCAGCAAGGAGAGCTCTGCCATACGCCCACACATGACGCTGTGCTGATCGCTCCACTGGAGGCCGCAAACCGCCATGGCGGACGCAAGGAATGCCGACACTGACTCAAGCGTCTACACCACAAACCCGGTTGAAGCTCCCAGGACCCTGAACGCTAAGTGGATCTGACCGACGAGCAAACTTGAGCGTTAGAGTGGTATAGGGGCTCTTGTCATCGACACCTGTCTCGAACATCCCGAGAAGGCTTACGAATCTTGTATGCCCTAGCGTCTCGAGGACGGTGATTTCTGGACCTGAGAGTCAAAGGGGTTTTCTAGTTCCAGGAGTTTTGGTCTTTGCCTCGCCTCGAGGCTCACAGGGTACCCGAAACCCTGCAAACCCTATAAACCTATAAACCCTATAAACCCTATAAACCCTATAACCCTATAAACCCTATAAACCCTATAACCCTATAAACCCTATAAACCCTACAAACCCTATAAACCCTATACCCCTATGAACCCCATAAACCCTATCATGGCCCTAATAACCCCATTAACCCTAGAAACCCACCCTACAAACCCCATAAACCCACAGACCGGAAGGTGCATGGGCGAACAACACCTTCGAGCCAGAAACAGGCGGATGCTCCCCTCAACTGTCCGCCCCACACCCAGAGACCCAGTTCCTTTGCTTGGGGGGGGGGGGGGGGTCGGGCAGGCACCAAGCTGAGGAAATGGAAATTCGTTTTTGCTAGAAGAACTGTAGAACAGGGCCCCAAAAACCCTGAATCCCACGCTGGGCCCCCACAAACACGCGCCGGCGTGACGAAGATGCCTCGAGGAATTTTCAGGCCCCGGTGGGCGCTACAGGGGCTTCGGAGAACTAGAGGTTTATTGGCCATGAGGGGACATCAATAGGCTGAAGAGAAGTCACAGCAGAAAGGGACAGAGAGAGAGAGAGAGAGACATGTGCAGATACAGATGTATATATACATATATTCAACACATATATATATATATATATAGAGAAAGAGAAAGGGTCGAGGCTGTCATGCTGCAAGTGAATCTCTGATCCATCCGCGGTGAGCTCAAACCCTGAATTCTGCCCTCAGCCCATCCTTTCCAGACCCAGGGAATAAAAGGTGCCCTTTTTGGTTTAAAGGGGTTTAGGGTTTCGGGTTTCGGGTTTAGGGTTTAGGCGGCATACAAGGGAGCCTAAACCCCCAAAAGGGGAATAAGGGCCTACTCTGGGTCCCAGCTTTTTACACCTGCTGCAGTCGCTGTGCCATTTCTTCATCCAGGGAATAGAGCCAGCAAGTGGAGAGAGAGGGAGAGAGCACAGGGGGTTCAGGGGCCTTTACTTTGGCTTAGTCACAGAAGAAGACCTACCTCACACACATGCATACATACTTTCCAGCATGCAGTGCCACGAGGGCTCGTCGTGATCAAAATCCGAACGATAGCTTCCTGGACTTGCAGCGGAGGAGCTTCCATAGTACGCTGTCTTGTGCGAGACTGTTCGCCCGTTGACCTGCCAAAGGGCTTAATTGGGGTGTTTCTGCTATGTTGCGTGGGTGTGATGTTCCGTGCTTCGAATACATGATGGATGACAGCGGCTGCTGCTGCGTAGGAGAACTCGCATCCTGCTAGCTCGAAGGGGCGGAGTTTCGGTGACATGAGAAGCCTGCTGCTCATGTGCGTATGGCGGAGGGCAGGAACCCAGCCCCGGAATAGTTGGGTTTAGGGTTTAGGCTTAGGGTTTATGCCAAATGCTGCCCCGCTCTGACGCAGATCAACACCCGAAAGTCCATCGACACCACATGCAGCCCTGAAGCCCCGCACCCCCACATCCCAGGAATGCCAAGTTAAAACCAAAAGCCTCCGCTCTAACCCCACCCTTCCTTGCTGGCCTTGACGCGGACAATCTGCCTCGAGAGTGGAACGGTGAAACGGCGGCAAAGGGCAACCTGCGCGAGGGGCTTCATTCGAGTTTAGGTTGAATTCGAGATTGAGAGCACATGTCGGGTTGCGAGTCTAGCACCTGAATACAGCAGCAGCACAGTGGTCAAAAGTCCGTGGTCGCAACAAAGTATCAGTGAGCTTGCGGACTGGGCTCCTGACAAAAACACCCAATGACTACAAAACCTCCCTGCTTGCATTCGTTTCACTAAACTCTGGTCCTTCCGACTCGTACATCAGTTCTCTCGTGGGTTTCAAGACACACATCCCAGCTGCGATCTGTGGCTTTTGCTGCTCATTCTTACTGACCCACTTGCCAGTCCTCAGGAAAAGCGCACGCGTGCTCTTGAGAGATGTTGTGAGGTGACCAGGGCAAAGCCCGGCAATTTCCAGCATGCTTGTCGCTTGCTTCCCTGAATCCGGCTTCGTGGCTGGCTTGAGAAGTCAAAGCAACCACAAGGACCCTAAGCAAGAACTCCTCCATGTAAGACCATGTAAGATCCTACGGCCAAATGTCCACAACAAACGGGCGATGAATCCAAGCTCTCAGCTGGGTGCGGCCATGGGCTCGCACCTGCCACCAAACAATGAAGAACGCTTTGAACATGTCCTGCACAGACTTCTGGTGCCCCAAGAAACCTACCTCTGTGCGTCGACACGTGAGCGACCGTCGGCCAAGGTCACGCAATAGGGGTGTGGCTTTTCGGTGTTCCCTGTCGCTTTACAAGGGTTTGATGGTTTTGCTATGGGCCCCAATGGCAACCCGTCGCTTTGCAGGGTTTTGCGTTACCGGCCGTCAGTACCAATACAATGAAGATAATAGCGACGGACTGATGTTTCTACTATGGGTACTATTATGACGGATGTCGCTTTTCGGTGTTCCCTCTGGCTTTACAAGGCTGCTGACCCTTCAGCATGCACATGTCCTCGCATTCCTCGCAAGGAAAAGCCGCAAGCACCAAAGTTTCGACCCTTGCGAATGTGTGTCCCTGCAGTCCTGGGATGGCCTCCTTCGGGGCCAAAAAGCCACGTTTCCTTTGCAAGCGGTGCAGCTTGCACCCAGGAAGTCGTGGGAGGAATGACCACACAAGAGTCTATGCAGTCATACCTACTGAAAATATTCTCCGCCGCGGCATGCCCTAGCCATACACCGAACCTTCCTTTTAAGGCACTGCAGTATTGAGTTTGGCTCTGATCCACATCTCTGCTTCGCAAAATCATTCAAGCCTATTGCCAAAGTCCACAAAACGGTCTTGGGGATTTGTCTGACCTGGAGAGTAGTGAAGGACTTGGCCGGGGATTCAGGGATATCCAAATCCGAATCCTGGAAGCAAAAATCTCCGCAAATATTGTGCTCATTTGCGTCCGAGGATCAATATCGTGCAATCGCCAGCCGTCCACCAAGGAGTTTCGGAGGAGGGGTGTGATTGCTTGAGCCAATGTAAGCCAGCATTCCCCGTCACTTTCCTGGGACACGCTTTTGCAATTGCGGCTACAACTGCCTTGCCTCTGTCTCCTGGCAGGAAGGACAAGCCGGAACCATGATGAACCCGAAAATTTAAGGCTCATCTACCCGAATGAACAGATGAACAAATATTCTTAGTTAGATAGATAGGTACATAGATGTGTATATACTCACAATGTAAGGCGCCCAGGTTCTCTATAATTCTCTGCTATAGAACTCGTAACGTGCTCGAGTTTCCGCGGCTGTAGCTTTTCGCCTCGCAGGGTAAACTGGTATAGGTTTGCACCATTTGGCGCGTGTCCGAGCCTTAACCTACTATTTGCTTAAGAACCCCCACACAAAATAAAACAAAAAAAGTCAGTATTACATTTCCCTTATAGGAATACTGTCTTTCTTTTTTGGGGGGTTCGTAAGCAATTGGTAGTAGCCGACCGACCGTGAGTATGCAGAGTCGCTCTGTGCACGTGGCCAGCTTTCACTCAAACAGACCCAACATCCGAACGCCTGCTTGCTCGCAAGGGGTGTGCTGTGTCGACTCGTGAAAGTGTCCTGGAAGTCAAAGAAAGCCAGCCACATGTCCCAGGCACACGGCAAGGATTCTAGGGGCTGCATCGAGTGGAGAGCTCAACAAGACTACATGGGTACTGACTGTAGATGTTCTTCGCCTGAGCTCGGAAAAAGGGCCTGCAGAACCCTGTAAGCTCCTATAAACCATAAACACTACAAAGCCTGCAAACCCTACAAACCCCATAATCAAGCCCCCACCTGAAATCCAGCTTTCTGCTTGGGCTCCAGAAGCTTTTGGGAAACCCTGACCCCGGTCAAACATCGCTTATGGGGACCCCGGCATGACCAAGTTTAGGGCCTGTGTAGGGTTTCGGGTTCCGGGTTTAGGGCTTAGTTCAGGGTTTAGGGTTTAGGGTTTAGGTTTTTTTGCGTAGGGTTTAGGGGTTAGGGGTTAGGGGTTAGGGTTTAGGGTTTAGGGTTTAGGGTTTAGGGCTAGGCACCCCCATGTCCTTGCCTTCAGCTCGCCAGCTTGCTGACGGCTCTCTGCATGAAACAGTTCTTGAAACTGAGTTTAAAAAGGCTGCAGGAAAGAAACCATCAAGGGTGCAGCGTTCAAGAACCGGCTTTGAACAACAAAACCGTGCACTTCACCCCCAAAACGCGGAACCGCGGAACCCTAAATCCTGTAAGCCCTAAACCCAGACCCTGGACCCTTTTTGCATACACCCTGAACTGGAACCCTATGGCCTTTCTATCGCTTAACAGCACAGCGCTTGCGTCTCAAAAGTTCTAAGCCGGTCTTTGGTCAACCTGGCTCCCATGTCTTGAAAGGCATGAATCTTTCGGCTAAAGGTTGTCGGGGGCTCTAAGGGCTTTAAGGTGATTTTTGGGGTTAAGCACTAGGTCCGAGACAGCAGGTGCAGGGTAGGGTGTAGTGCTTAGAGTCCCAACCACAGTATGTAGGAGTGTAGACTGAGAATGACAGGTCACCAGGATTTAGGGGCAGCTGAAAAAGAGCCTCACTAAGGGGGCTGCCGGAGCCAGGGAGGTTTAAGGTATGCTGGGGAGGATGGGGGGCAGGTCGATGAAAAGTATGCACCCCTTAGTCAGGGGCGGGGAATTCTTACGGACGTGGCTTTATTGTATGTTTGTCGTCGTCGAGGGCCCCCTTTAAAAACAGAGAAAATAGAGGTTTTCCAACTAGACTTTCGTATGAAACAAATTGAGGAAACAAAGCTTTCCTCGAGGTTTCCATGTTAAAAATCGAAGGAGATACAGGTTTTCGTGGAAATCGAAGTTTTCTGATTAAAGTACGGAGGAAGTGGTGTCTTCCTGTTTATGGCAGGATCTTCTGAAAAATAAACTGGCTGAAGCAAACTTGAAAGACTTCAAACGAAATACCGAGTAGGGCGGTTGGGGGTTCCACCCCCAATTCGCCAACACAATTCTTGCATGACGGATTTGGAGAAGGAAGTTCTCGCATGCTTTCCTAACGCAAGTCCTCGTTGCGGCATGGTCTTGAACATTTTTCTATTTTTGAGGTCTTCGATTCCTTCAGCGTTCTTTTGGTATGTCGGTATGTCTGTTCTTTCGCTCTTTCTATCGTTGTTCTTTCTCAACCTCTATATCCACTTTGTTTTCATGGGAGGGCCATTTCCTTTGTATTGTCATCGGCAAACCCATATTTCCTCTGCACGTTGATCGGAAGCCCTGGACATCCCCCCCCCCCCCCAAAAAAAAAAAGAAGAAAAAACACAAAAAGAAGTACCAAATAATTAGGGTGCCATTTTTTGCACCTTAAGTTCGTCAACAATGATCATCCTAGAGGCCATCAAGGGTTTGCTTTTGGGTTCTTGTAGGCTTTCGGCAGCTTGTTTGGAGGCTCTGGCTCTGTGTCACTGCTCATGGTGGCGGTGGACACGGCTTGCCCCTTGAGGGAGCGGAAGTGGGCATTCACAAAAAATATCTGCAAGAGACGCCTGGGTCCAAGGTTGCACTCAGAGATGTAGAGCTTAGGGATGGTCGTGTGAAGAAGTGGGGAAATTGACTCCTGCAGACTTAAGTCAACCGTACACGTGCCTTCTTGATCATGACAAATAGACGCTCAAAAAATGCAACGGCCTCCTTGAGAATTGCCCTCTGAAGACATGTGCGCGTCACTGCCCTCAGCTCCTGGACCTACGTTTTGGGGGCCGTTTTGGGGAGTGGGGTTTCTGACGTCGTGTCTTCTTCCGACTGTGGGGGAAGACATTTCCCCTGCGAAACCCAAGTGTCCCTGCACACACGCAAACCGTGTGAGCGGGCATGGCCCTCACCCCATTTACCTCATGGTGGGTGGGGCTGGCCCTCTGCAAAAGAAGAAGCTTCTTGGCACTTCCTCCAGCTGACAAGGGTTCCGAGGCTTTCGCCCCCGGGCACTGTCCCTGGCAGTGAAGTGCTCCTCTTAGTTGTCCAGTACCTAGGGGTTTTAAAGGTTAACCTTTGGGATTCTAAAGGGAATATATTAACCCAAAAAGGTTAAAGGTTACCTACTCTACTTAAGTCCTTAAGACAGATCCAAAAATCTCTCCCCAAGCGGCAAGTCGCGACCTACCTTCGCTCCCGCACGCTGGGAGGGAAAAACAGAGCCACAGGGGGCTAGGTACCCAAACAGGATAACAATACATGATATAGAATGTATACAGTATACTCAGTATGCAATCTGTGATCTCCAAAAGTCTCCAATACAGAAAGTAGATATGTATATTTATATTTATATAATACTAAGTGAAAGAATAAGAGTACTCATAATTACATCTTATAATCTTCCAATATTCAATCCGTATTTTTATACACGCATATCGCAGCGGTGTAGGGTGGAGCTGCAGGCTACGACTAGCTTTCAGCGGCGGCCGTTCGTCGGGAATCTTATCACTCTGGCCCCCTACTCTGTTATGCGCATGATGCTGACTGAACCTTGAGCCCTGAACCCTACAACTACTTACATCTAAATCAAACACTTGCACCAACCAACCAGTGTACCCGCCGTTGGGCTTAAAGGGCTTGTAATATCATAAATCTCCAGTGTCACGGTTCAGGGTCTTGAGTTTATCAAGGCTTGCCGTGCACCCCTCAGACCCTCAACGCTCAACCCGGAACCCGGGCTTTTTTGCGACCCGCCTAGCTGGTCAGAATGTACGGCAAAGCCTTTAGGGCTGGTGTTTACCTTCTGGGACTCGATGAGGCCTGAGACTCTAAAGCTTCGGGTGCAGGGTTGCTTGGTACCTGGCCCCCCAAGCGCTGTTCAGCACTATTGAAAGCACGTAAGGCTGCGGTTTGGAACCGTTGAAACAGCGTGCAAGCTTCGAATTAAGCTTATTACGTGGAGCCACGGAGCTGCCGATTCATCAATTCAAAACGAGTCTTGAAACTAACCCGAACTTCAGACAGCGATCAGCTTCAGCTGAAAGCTGATCGTGCCCACCACCGCCGCGGTGAAGTACACAAACCTTGCTTCAGGTGCATTTTGGTTCCGAACACCCTTAGGCCGTACCGTCATTCCCTGAAGAATTCTTGGGGCCTGCGGCCTCCATCTGAGTGCTGGGAATCAAATCTTGTAGCAAGTCCGGTAACTCGGAATACGGTTCACTTCGATTTGTGTTGAGATCTCAGCTCTCGCCCAGAAAATGCCAGACACAGCCTGCAACCCGAAAACCTCAACCCTACCTGGGCGCTTACTTGAGCCTCCCTTTTGGCACCTGTATCTCATCTCCCCGAAACCCTAAACCCTCAACCCAGAAACCCAGAAACCCTAAACCCTAAAGCCTAAACCCCAAACCCTCCCTTGTTACTTTCGGGGTCCTAAGCCCTAAACACACAGCATTCACTACATTTACTGTAGTTCTTGCACTTGTTGCATGCCAGTACCCCCCTTAACTCCCGGAACTCCCTCAACCATGGCATCCTTGCACCCGACACCCTACACCCTAAACCCTAAGAAAACCCTAGAAAACTAGAAAACCCTAAACCCTAAACCCTAAACCCTAAACCCTAAACCCTAAACCCTAAACCCTAAACCCTAAACCCTAAACCCTAAACCCTAAACCCTAAACCCTAAAGGCGAGGAGCTTCTGCAGGACGCCAAGCGTCACCCGCGTGTCCCACATGAAGAACCCGGACTCGCTAAGGGTCAGGAACAGCGCGAGGTCCATGTACTCCCCTTCTTCCTGGGCGAACCCTAAACCCTAAACCCTAAACCCTAAACCCTAAACCCTAAACCCTAAACCCTAAACCCTAAACCCTAAACCCTAAACCCTAAACCCTAAACCCTAAACCCTAAACCCTAAACCCTAAAGGGACTTTTTTACTTCTGGCAAGCATAGTACATTCCGCCTGTGAGCTTGAAACAACGAAGTCCATGTATATTTTTGGTTGGGTGATCCGTGTTAATTGAAAACACGCTTTGCCTAGTTTTTGGATTAAGCATCAGAAGGGTTTTGGGGCTCCGGGGCTTAGGGCTTCTAGGGCTTAGTACAGGTTTACGACCTGGATTCCCTTCTCAAAGAAACCGCACGCTCGCAGGCACCGCGAGGGTTTGGTCGACTTAATCAAAAAGGGCGGCGCAGTGCTCAGAACTACAACAAACCTCAAATACAAACAAACCCCCAAACCCAAAGCCCCTCGAATCAAATGGATCTTTTGCGGGGGGCTTCGGCGGAAAGCAAAGAGTTCGAAGCGGAGGGCCCCAGCCCCAAGCACTCCTACTCTGACGCAGGTTCTACTCTCAACTTCTCAGCATCACAGCCTGAGCCGAACCAGTTCACTCCACTCCGCTCCACCTCCACTCCGCTGCAGAAACGTCATGTCTGCTCACTGCGTGCAGCTGCGCTGGGCACTGCAAGTGCTAAGCAGGTTCCACCACATTTGCAGCCAAGCTTCATCTTCATCCCCATCCAGCATGCATAGCCTCATGGGCACACTGTTTCTTTTTGCTCGGGGTTTCTGCGTCAGGGCAGGAAACCTTTGTGGGGTAACCGCCTGCCTCTTCCAGATGTAGTCCTGTCCGAAAGCCAAAGGTAGTTGCATCCCTTCTGGAGGCAAACGAGCCTGCAACTGAGCCCTGCAACCTGAAGCAGGCCCGTCCGCTACTGCTTGATGTTCGAATACCACAGCTGTGCCGCTCATTGAGATGGGCAGCCCTAATTAAAGACCATGAGAATATCGGGACGCGCGGAGGGCTGTGCGACTGCAGCCCCATGCCCCATGCCTTTCGAGCACTTATATACGGCAACTCACAAAAGCCCCAGGGCTACCGGCATTAGACCCTATATAAGTCCGAAAGCCCTCCAATCAAATGGACCATGAACATCCCAGTCACAAGGAAGGCAACCGCGTGCAATCCGCAGTTGCGCAGGCAGCGACATACCTTGGGGAGGTGGAGGGAGGGTGGAAAGGCGTAACCCCTCTAACCCTCAAGCCTAAATCCTACATCCTCAATCCCAGACCCTAAACCCGAAGCACCATAAGCAATGCATGGCTTTAGGGTCGACAATCGGGCCACCCCTGCCGGCCACTACTTCGAGTACTACTTTGGAGTGGGGTACCCCACAACTATGAAAAAGTAGGCTTTAGGGTTTAGGGTCGTGCCGGCACATAGAAGTACACAAGTTGACTCAGGTTCGGGTTGATTCACGACACTGCCCGCACTTTCGTCATGCCTTCATATCTAACCCTACATCCCGCAACCCAAAAACCCTACAACCCCAAAGCCCCGCATCCCCAAAACTCTACAACCCTAAAACCCTACAGCCCAGAAGAAACAAAACCCGTAATCCCTAACACCCGACCCAACACCCTAAACGCAATAACCGCCAATCCGATAACCCAAAAAAACCCGAAACCCTAAACCCCCCCCGAAAACACCAGCCCAAAGGGACAGGGATGATGGCATGACGAGGGCCAGGACCACGTTCGGAACAGCATTGGCTCCGTAACCCTCACCCCAGGCTTGGGATTTTGAAGGCAATCAGGGCATTGAAGGGATCTTTTTGAGGGCTTCTTTGGGAGTTTGATTTTTTTGTGGGGTTGAGGGCTTTTTTTTCAGGTGTAGGGACGTTTTTTGCTTGCCACCCGCCTAGCAGACCCCCACTGATTCTGCAGGGATGTTTGGGGTTTCGGGTTTAGGACGTATAGGATTTGATGTGCTTTGGGGTTGAAAATGGGGTGTATAGGCTTCTGCCCCCTGTCCTATCAGTCACCTTAGATCCAGATGTGGTTGTTGGTACACCCTCAAGTCCGCACCTGGCCTAGAAAACATCGAGACAGAAGGTTTTGTTTGGGCTTGGGGCTTCGGGTTTCGGATTAGCATTTAGTTTCGGGTAGCTGAATTGCAACTCGGCGAGAAGAACGTGCAGTTGACTGCTCTGGGCAGCCCAGCCACAGTAGGGATGCAGACTTTCTTATGGCACACGCAGACTCACCTGGGGGGTCCAAAGACCCCACCCTAAACCCTAAAAACCCGAAAAACCCGAAAAACCCTAAACCCTAAACCCAAAACCCCGGCCTTAAAGATGTCGTAGAGCATCGCAAAAGCCACAAGTACCGTGGTCGACGCCAAAGAGGCAGCTGTCAGCTGGTACATTCCTGACAAGACAAAGCGCCCTCTACAAGGGGCTCAAAGTTGGCCCCTGAACCTTTTGAGGGCTCAGGAATTACAGGGTCACATGTGTGTTGCGCCCGGTGAAGGAACCTCAACTGGGCAGGCAGGCACATGTGCAGGCCATGTACTGAACCGATGCTGGAGCAAGCAGGGGCTCGACCCGAAAACCCCAAAACAGACCTGCACATCCTGCAAACACCACATTGATCCCTACTACCGTGAGTTCCTTGAAGAGAAGCTGCGCAGGTTTATAGCAATGAGCTATAAACAAGCGAAATGCATGAATTCCAGAAAATACTAATGCGAGAAAATATACCGACTAGGAAAGAAACGCCAGTGTATGCGATGTGGCTTGTCTTTCTCTCTGCTTTTCCCTTCACTGCTAAGCTAACTGAGTCAAACACAAAGTCTTGCTATTATCTTGGATTTCTATTGCCTTTCCGATGTGTCTTTCCCATATTTGGCCAAAAAAACACTTCCTTTCTCCTACTTCTGAGGGTGACGCCGAGACAAACTCCTTTCAAGCTAATTCATAAACTCAAGAAACCACCAATGAAGAAGCACACCTGCGAAGATCCAAAAACTGTCCATCCAGTAAGCTGCAAGCAGAAGCCATCAATTCCAACGATATGCGCTCCCTCATCGAATGATTTTTTGGGTGTGCTGCAATCATGTAAAAAAGCCGATTTCGGACGTGTTGTGGTTGTGGGGGGGGGGGGGGGGGCAGAGAGGTTCCCGATTGATAGAAGAGAACTCTCGGCGTGACCCCTATAGGGGCACCATCGTTTGTCTTTGTAGCCCAGTAACGAGCTTATGATATTGGCCCTAAACCCTAAACCCTAAACCCTAAACCCTAAACCCTAAACCCTAAACCCTAAACCCTAAACCCTAAACCCTAAACCGTTTGCGGCTTGGTTACTTTCATAAGGGACAATGAAGATGGGAAAGCCCTTGCATCCAGGAGGCGCGACGTCTGACGCATGGCGCCGATGAGTTCCCTCCACTTCATCCGAGCGGTCATGCACGAGATCTCGCCTAGAAAGGGCTTGTGTGGCGTCTTGAGAGGGCCTTCTACTCTCTCTATCTCTCTATCTCCTCTATCTCCTCTATCTCCTCTGACTCTCTATCTCTCTGTGTCTCTATCTCTCTCTTTCTTTCTTTCTTGGGGGCGTGGGGGCGAACCCCCTGGCTGTGTGCTCTCTCTCTCTCTCTCTCTCTCTCTCTCTCTCTCGCTCGTGTTCAGAGTTTATGTAGGGGTGTGAGGTTTCTTTGAACCCTTGTAACCCAAAATTCTGCGTACCCAAGAGCCTCAACTCTCAGTGAGCCTCCGGCGGCGGTGAGGAAGGTGGCGGAGCTTGGAGTCTCATCACTGTAACCCTAAACCCTAAACCCTGAACCCTAAACCCTAAACCCTAAACCCTAAACCCTAAACCCTAAACCCTAAACCCTAAACCCTAAACCCTAAACCCCCCCCCCCCCCCCCCCCCCAGCCACCAGGATCGACTCCGGATGTGCCTTCGAGGACGCTGCGCGCGAAGGCCGCGATGGCCAGCGAGATGCCGCGCCATTTCGAGTTCTGCAGGGTGGGTTTAGGGTTTAGGGTTTAGGGTTTAGGGCTTAGGGTTTAGGGTTTAGGGTTTAGGGTTTAGGGCTTAGGGCTCAGGGTTTAGGGTCTATAGGGTCTATAAATTATATAGGGTTTAGGGTTTAGAGTCTGGGGTTTGGAGTGGTTCTATGCGAAACTCTGCACGAAAGCCAGCAAACCACAAGCTTCCCCGACACATGTTGCCGCTGTGCTTTACCTTCGGCTCCAATGTGGTGAATAAACAACTGTCTCTTCTTCCTTCCCCTTCGGCTGCCGCTGTGTGGGGTCTACGTCGAACTATGGCTTCGACGACAAGGTGCTTACAAAGGTGTACTTAGTAGACTTCATCCTGCTCAGCGTGGTTTGTAGAGCCAGCCCCTCTGCTGTCTCTAAGTCCCAAACCAGATGGTTTGGGCAACTCTCTGACCAGCTTTGCCCTTGAAGCATCCAGACACTACTTTTTGCTGAAGAACCCACCTACATCCCTATATTGCCCTTATAAGGAGGATGTTTTGTGAGTTTTTTTGGTGGGGTTCTTAAGCAATTAGTCGGACAAGACCTGCCTGGAGGTAGCACGCACATAGCAGCATGGCCGTGGTGAAGGCGTAGGCGACGGGCGCCAGGACCTCCAGCCGGGCGAAGTGGGGAGGTATGCGTGGTTAGGGTTTTCTGCTTTCGGGTTTCCTCCCTCTCTCTTGTGGTTGCCGGGCTTGCGGCCCAACCTCTGCAGGGCACCAGAGGCTTGTTTGCCTACCTTCTTCCGCTACACCTGGAGGAGGGTGAGTCGTCCCGTCTACTTCTACTTAGCAAGACCTCGATGAGGAGATCCCGTATCCAAGACCTCATGAGTTTTGACCTCGCTGACCCCAGGCGCAAGGATGTGTCAGGAGGGCAAACTAGCTGAGACGACTGCACCGCCAGTCGGACAGCAGCTTGGCAAGCAACAGCGCAGCGACTGGCTGAGCAGGGTGGATTTTGCCACCCGCCTTGCAGTCGCTGCACGGGCTCTGTGCTCAGATCCCTATAAACCCTAAACCCCCTGACAAAGACAAACAAATAATGAAACACAAACAAACCTGGCCTCCAGGGCACCCAGCGTGTCCTCAGCCGCGTCACTCTGCCAGGACCAGATCCGGAGGCCCACGACCAGCCTTGCATTGGTCTTAGCGTCGGGTTTAAGGTTTAGGGTTTAGGGTCTGGGGTTTAGGGTTTAGGGGTAGTTGCAGGCCTTACATGGGCTTATAGGGAGTGTAGGAGTTTTGGGAGTTTCGGGGCGGCTTAGGATTCAAAGTGAAGGGCCCTCTCTTGGGGCCCTGGCTCAACAAGGCTCTTTGCTCTGTTGGTCCAGAGGCCTATGTGGGTGTGGTGCGTATAGGTGTAGGCATCCGATAGAAGAACCCTTGCTTGAAGAGCGACGTGTGTAGGGAAAGGTGGGAAGGTATCATCCTCCCGGAAGAGGAAGGAGGCCGGATCCCGTGTGATATCTCGAGACTCTAGATTGAGCTCAAGGCCTGCTGGCAGCTTTTATGGGCTTATTGATCAGTCCAGGGTCTGTGCTGTGTAGCGTTTATGGAAGGGTTGCTATAGTTGAGTTCAAGCTCTAGGCGCCATAGGATTTCGGCTTCATAAGGATCGAAATCCAAAGAACCTAGTCTGCAAAATCCTCCCTACCTGTTCCGTAAAAAAAGAGGGGGCTAGGGCGGAAGGTAGGGAGGGCTAAACCCTAAACCCTAAACCCTAAACCCTAAACCCTAAACCCTAAACCCTAAACCCTAAACCCTAAACCCTAAACCCTAAACCCTAAACCCTAAGGGGCTAGGGGGGCCTGGGGGGGGGGGGGGGGGGACAAGTTGCCTATACCCTAAACCCTCTCTCTCTCTCTCTCTCTCTCTCTCTCTCTCGCAGACTCGGGAATCCGTCAGCTGCCCTAAACCCTAAACCCTATAAACCCTAAACCCTAAACCCTAAACCCTAAACCCTAAACCCTAAACCCTAAACCCTAAACCCTAAACCCTAAACCCTAAACCCTAAACCCTAAACCTGGGGGGCTGGGGGGGGGGGGGAGGCCTGCGGGGGCAGACAAGTCGCAGCCAGACCCCGGCCAGGAGAGTTGCATCTAGCGCTTTCCTGGGATGGAGATGACATGCTATCTGGAATCTTCGGCTTAGGGCTTAGGGCTTAGGGCATCTTAGGGCTTAGGGCTTAGGGCTTAGCGCTTAGGGCTTAGGGCTTAGGGCTTAGGGCTTACGGCTTAGGGCTTAGGGCTTAGGGCTTAGGGCTTAGGGCTTAGGGCTTAGGGCTTAGGCTTACGGCTTAGGGCTTAGGGTTTAGGGTATAGGAGCTAGGAAGTGTAGGGTCTTGAAAGAAATGTGGGGTAAGTGGAAGAAAGGGTTGGGCTCCCCTGGCGGCACGGCATATCAAAGCCCCTTGCTTTGCGCCCTGCCCTTGCAATCTCCCACCCCCGAGACCCTACCAAAAGAAGCGTCCTTTTTGTGGGTCCGGTATTGCTTTAGTTTCTTTGTTGTTGCCTTATTGTTCTCGATATGGTTGGTTGCTGCGGATATTTCTGGGGAGCTGCGCTGATAACATTGCGATAATGTTTGCGGTGTGTCATCTTGCGACCTGAGGAATGAGATCCAGTAGCATCATGCAGGCATGGGAAGGGAGACGTTGGCTCAATCACGGGGGTGCGTGGCTACTCTCTTCTACCTGGAGGTTCATGGTACTTATGAACCAGCTAAGTGCTCCAACATGGTCATTATTGGGTTATACGTACAGTTGTAATTGGGAAAATAAGTACCATGAACCTCCACGTCGCCCCAAACCTCTTCTCCACTTTCCCTGCCAACCTTCGCCGATCACATCGACTTCTTCTGTGAGCTACGTATGGGGGCGGCACAACACCTAGAGGCTTCGCCCTACGTGTGGGCCTCTCGACCCTGACATATACTCCTGGCCGTGGCTTGTGCCGGGAGCTTCAAGCTTCAACTCCGGGCAACAAGTAAGAATGAGCAAGTGATAATACTGGTGCCAAAGACCAACATGCGAATAATACGAATAACAGCAAAGGCAATCATCGGCATCACGCTATCTATATATATATATCTATATATTGCACTTATACGTGTACTTATTCGTTTGGTAAAATCATGCAAGGTGGTGATGAAGACGTCGCGCCGCTGCTTGGCCCAGTAGTCGGACAGGCCGGCCCCCTCGATGTACTCCTTTTTTTCTGGGGATGGGGGGCTTGCGTGGTCGCTTAGGGTTTGGGGTCGACTCTCCAAAAGCACCAGGTTCCCAAGTAGCCTGAGAAAATACGGGTGCCTTTCCTTGTTTGGTGAGGCTTCCCCACCCTGAAGGAATAAGGCGTGCTACCGGGCATCCAAATGACTCAAGTCGCTTCTTTGGTACCCTGAAAACTAGGCGCCGCCATTGTCTCAAACTTTCATAGGGACTCCCGCGCACGGCTTTTCGGGTAGGGGGCCAAGAAGCTGAAAGCCGATCATGGCCCGTTTAGATTCTACAAGCTGTTCACTGATTTTGGTCCTTTCACGCACCAAGTGCCTAGAGCACAGCTATGTGGAGAGATCCGGACTCACTCTTAGGCAGCGACCGATCTTTTGCAGGGCCCATACAGGAAGGTCGCCAAAGCTAGGCTCAAACCACAGTGGATCTTGAGTCGCAGCTTGTCGCGACATGCGCGGTTTCCGGGCAGCGCACCTCAACCATGCCGATTCCCATCTTCAGGGCGATGTATGAAACCCTAAACCCTAGCCTCCAAACCCTACACCTAAACACCCCATAAACCCCCTATAAAACCTGTCAGCCCTATAAACCCTAGAACAAGCCCTATAAACCAGCCACAAAAACCCTTCAACCCCCCCCCCTGCAAACCCCTAAACAAAAGGTAAAACATGCATGTGGACCCCTTTTCGGAGGCTCCATAAGATGCTCCGAGATCTGCATCTGCGAGTTCGCCGTCTTCCAGTAGCCTCAGGGAGCCGCCGGTGGCTGCGGGAGTTGGTTTTGGGTTTAGGGTTTTGGGTTTCGGGTTTAGGGTTTAGGGTATAGGGTTTAGGGTTAGGGTTTAGGGTTTAGGGTTAGGGTTTAGGGTTTAGGGTTTAGGGCCTAATTATAGGGCTTGGGGTTCGGGTTTAGAAGGGGTTTTGAGGGTTTTCTTTATAGGGCTTAAGGTTGTCAACAGTATCCTATAGGGGAACTAAAGGTTAACCTTTGGGATGGTATGGGGATTATAGTACCCCAAAAACCTTCAGCACTACCTGCTCTGCTGCTAAGTTTGTTGGTGGCGTTGGTGGCTGCTTGAGCTGTGTTCAGTTCAGGGTTTAGGGTTTAAAGGGCTTATAGGGTTTATGGGGTTTTAGAGGTCTTTATAGGGCTGATGGGGTTTAGAGGGGTTTTTGGTTCAGGGTTTAAATGTTTTAGAGTTTAGGTTGAACTGTATTTTCACTCCTCCTGACCTTAGAAGAACCGGAAGTCGAATTCGAAACAACCTGGGCAAGGGCTGGCATATAAAACGATTCATGACTCTCAGGAATAGCCAGCATCAAAATATAAAAAAAGCAATAGCAGTATATACAAATACACATGTATATATATATATATAATATACATACAGACTAGGGCCCGGGAAGTTCCTGAAGAGCCTGAGAGATTTTCTCCGCCCGCCTTCGAACCACGGGTGGTTCGGGAGGCAAAAAAAAACCCCGATGCCTTTTGCAAAATGGGGGTTTCCGAACTTAGGGGTTATCATTGGGGTAGCTTTTTATAAGGGAATCCTACTATTTGGGGGTCTATATGAAGAGTGCTTCCTATTTCCGGAAACCACCAACATGTTGCCCGGCAGCTATAGAAGCCGCCGCAAGACCACACAGCCGCCAGGGCGCCCAGAAGGATCCTCGGGATTGCTTTGCCCAGTTTCGTAAACCCTCTCGATCCCAAGCCAATCCCTGAGGCGGGCTTTGCAAGAAGGGGAGGAATGCACCCTAAGCCCTAAACCCTAAACCCTTTTGCTTCGAGGTGTTCTTGTGGCAAGGCTTTGTGGCCTCTTTGCGGGTTTTGGGTGGCCTTGCGGTTTATCTGCAGGTCGGGACAGTGTGTGCTGAGGCCCTTAAGCCCGAAACTCTTCCAATAACCGGCTTTATTCCACGAAAGAACATGGCCCTACACCAAGACCTGCCCACCCAGGCATCCCGCGAAGCCCAAACAGCCGCTCCAAACGTTCAAAATTCTGGCACCCCGAACCGCCGAAGCTCTACTGTGCCGCAGCCGGATCCCACGTCAGAAAAAAGCCATGCGATCTGACTGACCAATGATGAGGTGCATCTATAGATTCTTCGGATACTTCTTCCACGCATGCTTACCCGATTCGCAGGACTGCTCCTGTTCTTCTACTCGTTCTTCCCGGGAATTTGCCTGCAGGTCAAGAGTCATGCTGTCTGTGGCCAGGGCGGATGAGCAGAACGGCAGAGCCCCTGCATTGCGGCATACCACCAGCTCCCAACCGCTGCCAACCAGGCACAGAAAGGCCAGAAACCTTTGCTTGCACTGTCTTCCGCAGGGAAGTCAGGTTTCAGGTCGTATGGGGGATTAGAACCACAAACCTCAGATATGCCACATGCCTATACAGGCGGCGCCGATGTCACTCTTCCCACAGCTCACTTCCTTCTCGGAGGATGCCCTGAATTTTTCCCTACCCCTAAATAATTGGTTCTAGTTTTCGCGCATTGGGTACATGGGGGGGATATATTCCCTGCGGATTTCAGAGGTTCTATAGGGACCCGCAGCAACCCTTCCTGTGTGTTCCATTCATCCCTCTTGGTTTTGAAGTGTTGCGAACTGTGACAGGGAAGAAAGCAAGTCCGGTGGACCCTTCGCCACCTAAGGAACGCCGAACCTCAAAGCACCCCCAACCCCAAACCGCTAAAACCACTAAAACCACCAAATGAAGACTCTCCACCCGAAGCCCAAGTCCAATTCAACAGCTGAACTCGCGACTCCCTCTGCAAGAGCCGGGAATCTCACATGCTGGGCTCTAGGGCAAGAGCACGAAAGTGCTTTTGCCACGCATCGCAACAACTGCGGGGATCCCCTGGTGTCCCTGATGGGCTCCTTGAACCCTCAACCCCTAAACCCTTTATAAACCCTAAACCCTAAACCCTAAACCCTAAACCCTAAACCCTAAACCCTAAACCCTAAACCCTAAACCCTAAACCCTAAACCCTAAACCCTAAACTGAAACCCTAAACCCTTAACGGGCTTCGATTTCGTTCGGGCCCAAATCCACACGAAGAGTGGGCGATTATGGGGAGCGGGCTTCATATTACAAGACGCTTTCCAAAGCCAAGAGCAGTGAAACCAGAGACAGACAAACATGGACGTGCCAAAACTATGCATGGCAAGGCTCCCTCCCTCCCTGTCTCTCTCCCTTCTCTCTCTCCCTTCCCTCTCTCCCTTCCCTCTCTCCCTCCCCTCTCTGCCTCTCTCCCTCTCTCCCTCTCTCTCTCTCTCTCTCGCTCTCGCCCTCTCTCTCCCTCTCTCTCCTTCTCCCTCTCCCTCTCCCTCTCCCTCTCCCTCTCTCTCTCTCTCTCTCTCTCTCTCCCTCCCTCTCTTCTTCTCCCTATACATGCATGCACACAAATAGGTAAAAGTGAATGTACACACACATACATATATACACATATATATATACACACATATATCTATGTACACGCACACATGTATATGTACATATATCCCCCTTCTGGTCGGGGGCGGTGCCTTGAGTTGCAGGCATTGCCCCGCATGCCAAGGGGATACTGTTGGAGTTTGTGCAGCCAAAAGGGGATTAGCTGAACTTGCTTTTTCCCTTAGTCTTGCTGCCGGTGCGTGTGTGCGTGTTTGGTACGACCACCCCGCACCCCAAGCCCTGTCTCCGAGCCAATGCCCCCAGCTTAGTACCTTTGTGAGGGATCGCAAGGGGAAGAGTTTCTGTTCCTGTGAAGTGGGCTGTCTTGCCTAAGTGCCCAAATCCAACCCAAGCCGCCCGGCTTGGGGGGGCGGGCCCATGGAGGTTCGGGTGGCGTTTTTCCCAGCTCGGATTGAGGGGCTCGGAGCGTCGAACTCTTGCCGGACCTCCCCAATGACGCAAGCGGAGGGGGGAAGAGATGGCGGGAGGGAACGTTTCCGTTGGCCGGAGTGCACCCCAGGCCGTCCACTCACTCACTCACTCACTCACTCATATGTACATATATACCTTGCAGCTTCCGAGAATCCCGGATGCCACAGCAAAAAATCGACGCGACCAATCTTACAACCTTCCAAACAGGCTGAGGAGCAGCACGCCACAGTGGTAGAGCCTGGGCTTCTCATCCAACTAAGTGCTTGCTCAGCGCATCAGTCGGGATGTAATCATGAATAAAGGCCCTAAGTCACTAGGTTGGCCCTTAACACCCTGAAGCACTTTCGCACGAGGCCAGAACTGTGAAAGAACCCCAAAGCCAACTGGCACCGCCTGGCCCCTCAGGTTCATGGGGGACAAAGGTGGGATGCAAGCCGAAGCCCAAGAAGCTTCGAGATGACGCAAGCTTTGGTCGACAGCCGCGAATGAGAGTTCTCGTCGGTTCGCGCCTCACCGAAGCATGGGAAAACGGTGTTGTTGTTGTTGTTGTTGTTGTTGTTGTTGTTGTTGTTGTTGTTGTTGTTGTTGTTGTTGTTGTTGTTGTTGTTGTTGTTGTTGTTGTTGTTGTTGTTGTTGTTGTTGTTGTTGTTGTTGTTGTTGTTGTTGTTGTTGTTGTTGTTGTTGTTGTTTTGTTGTTGTTGTTTTGTTGTTGTTTTTTGGGGGGGGGGGGGGGGCGGGGGCGGAGGGGGTGCGCTCTTCTGTGCTGGCACCTCTCCACAACACAACAAAACCGTCAATAGAAGGCAATAGATAGACATGGAAATGTGTACATCCGTGTCGAACCAACGCATACATGCATACATACCCATCTCTCTCTCTCTCTCGCAGCTTCCGGTTTGTGGCTTATTCCCGCGACCTTGCCGTCACAAAGAGCAGCGGGTGCACGCACTTCAGTCCCCCGGCTAAAGCCTAAAGCTGCTTCTTCCAATTCTGTCGGACTCTGAGTGCCTTGACAGTAAATGCCTTTCGCAGACCTCGATGGTCGCGATCTGTAACATTACGCCCGCATTGGTAGCATGGGCGTTTGCTGGCAGTAACACATGGGCACCATCAAGGGCTCTCGAAACCGCTGACAGAACGAAGAGTCGGAAGGTTTTGCCTCGATTCACTTCACCGACCACGCCGCGAACAACTGGAACTTGTCTGCCGGGGTCGGGATCTTACCCTAAACCCTAAACCCTAAACCCTAAACCCTAAACCCTAAGCCCCAAACCCTTACTAAGTTGGTCCCCTCCCCCCCCCCCCGCCCCGTCGCA